TCCCCAAAACAAATTCTTCTACTGCATAGTTCAACAGTGAACTATAAACATGTCTTGAGAGAGATAGGATAATTTAATATGATACCCTAGTAATATGGACAGGCAACGTTTGAATTGCTATGAGTTCCTCTTTTAATCTCTCTCGAAATTGAAAATTAGAATTTAATACAAGTCTAAAATGTTAGACTTCATTCATACTAAACTTCTTGTCTTGATAGTTATGGCAGCTTAGAAATTTCAACAGAATTCAGTTCACTGAACTTTTCTGAGTCTATCATTACACCGAAGATGTTAGTGATTAGTTATCAATATTACATAATATTATGCTTTTGAGTTGATATCAGTAGTCGAATGAAACAGGGTAATATTCAAAAGAGGTTGATTATGTATATCTAAAGAGATTTTCTGTTTTTTTTCGAAACCTTGTCAACAAGAGAATTCCCTCGATATGGGACAAACGCTCTCTTTTGGTCTTGTCAATACCCATAAGTTGTAGACTTTCCTTCAGTAAGCTTAAATATATAAAAAAAAAGTCAACTTACTTATTTATCTGATGGGTATTCTTAAGAAAATTTTTTACTTAACTATTTGTGATATACTCATCATGACTTAATCAATAATGCACAGGCTGAAGGATTCTAGTCTTTCTCAAGAATATTTTCTTTTTTTTTTCTCAAAAGAGTTTTGTAGTTTTAATCACCGATATGATAAAAATACATCGTCGACTAAAGTGAAATGTATATTCTGATTAACAGTTTTTGTAGGCAGCGAACTTAGAACATATAATAATATGGGTTCTTTTACACTTTAGAACCCCAGGCATCTGATTGGTCACAACACAAGCTCAAAAGTGTGGGTGAGGGTGAGAAAGTTGATTATTTGGGGTCCTAAAGTGTAAAAGCTCCTGATTCTATTGGTTTAAACTAGCTAGGATAATCTACACATAAGTTTGTGTGTATCGTGTATGTGTAGCTTATCTTAGTCCATGAATATCTATTTATTTCTTTTTCAGGAAATCTTTATTCAAAATACACTAATAATTAGGATGAGACTTTTTAGAGTTTTTCAATCAAAATACTCGATGCTCCACCACCACCATTACATACACCGGCAACACCTTTTTCGCCTGTTTTTAAACTATGACATAAATGCACGACAATTCTTGCACCTGACATTCCAATCTGAAGCGAACAAAACAAAAATAATAATAAGATTGAAATAAATTTTTTAACTGACTGGATGTCCAAGTGCAACAGCACCACCATGTATATTTATTTTATCAAGACTAATACCAAGTAATTTTGCATTAACTAATGCAACAGCACTAAATGCTTCATTAAATTCCCACAGGGCAATATCTTTCTTATCAAGATTTGCAAGTTTCAAAAGCTAGATGAATTCAATTAAATTGATATTAAGACAAAAAAAAAATAATTTTCTATACCTTTGGAACAGCCAATGAAGGTGCTATACTAAAATCAACTGGAGCAGTTGCAGCATCCGCAAAAGCTAGAAAAAATTCAGATTAGTTTCGGAATATTGGTTTGTCAAAGATAGATCTCGAAACGATGACTTTTATGGCTTCATGTCTAACCGGAAGGTGGAAGAAGAAAAGTGAAAGATCATTCTATCAATCTAAGATTACTGTAAATTTTAACTAGTCTAAATATTGCACATCTCTGACAATATATCCTAAATTTATAATAGTCAGAGTTGGTGAGTTCCACACTTTAGCCCTTAAGGCCTCCCCCCCCCCCCTCCAAAAAAGTCCATTTCCGTCAAAAATTTCGCAACAGAGATAAAGGCAT